GTTGTAATTTCTGCAAGGGTCGTTGTCGAAGCAGTTGATGGACCACTGGTCTGAATCTTGGATGGTTGAGTGGATCCACTAGTAACTCCTGTTGTACTTTCAGTGATTGGCAGTGTTGCTGTCATCATTGGTATTGTTTGTGTTAGCGGTGCTATGGCTGTAGTTCCCATTGTACTTTCTGTAAATGTTGAAAGTAAAGAGCCTAATGTTACATTTCAACATTTTACTATGTTTGATTTTCATGACATATTTGGCATTTGATCTTTAGAAATTATCGCACTCACTAACTATTTTACTTAAATATATCTCTTCCTACCTGTTGAATATACAAAAATGGTTGTTGGTGTTGATGTAGTTCCTGCTGTTTTTGTTGTTACGGTAGGAGCTTCAGTAGATGCTGTTGTACTTTCTGTAATTTTTTAAGTTAAAGAGCATAGAATTACTTTTCAACATTTTACTATCCTTGATATTTACAACCGTTGATATATAGTTAGTTTTTTTAAATAATTAGGCTCGCTAAATGTATTACGTAAAAGTATCTCTTCCTACCTGTTGAAAATACAAAAACCGTAGTTGGTGTTGATGTGGTTCTTGTTCTTGTTGTTGCTGTCATTGTGGTAGGAGCTACAGTAGTCTCACAGGCGTTCATGTCCCTGTTAATGGTTCCATTTTCCCCACACACTGCCGTGATACAGCTTCCATCACCATCAGTAGTATGGTATATTGTTGACCCATATGAGTACTTATTTCCTTTGTAGATGCAGGAACAAGCTGTAGAGAAACATTTCTTTTCTAAGTATGGTTGTCTTTTCTCCATCAAATGAAATTTCACAGAACTGATGCAGATCATCGTGCTTACCTTGAACATCATAGGTGCAGTTTATTCCGGTTGATGAACAGTAACTTGATGGGGGGAAAAACACAATGTGTTATTTCTTTATAGTGATTTACAAATGATATATAGACATAAATACGAGACACCTACCAAGACTCGCAGTTCTGTGTGGTGGGAACACTCTCCCCTGTATTGTAGTGTTTCTCTTCAGCATCATAACAACCACACTGCTCTGCCTCCACACACTTCATTGAGTCCTCATCAAAGAAGGGTCGACTCGAGGGGCAATTGGGATAGCAACCTTGAGACAGATTCATCCAAACAAAGTTTACCACTGTGCAAATCCGTGTTTCCCTTCGCACATAAAGTATATAGAAGTTTTAACAACAGCAATTCCTTTTTAAATCTTATACATGTAGTCCAACTCAGCAAAATCGTTTTACCTTCCATCACTGGCATTTGTTCAGAACACACCCCGGTGGGGTTCCGGCAAGTCTTCATGCATGGAGCTCCGCAGGGCTGGTAATGCCACTCACACTGGTCAGGAGTGTTGTAGAAATCACAGAACAATGCTACAGCATGGAAGAGGAGATCATTATGACATTATTAATATCATTATTTTGTGATTCTCTTATTTGACTCATAAAGTGCAGTGCTGTCAATTGAATTCGGAACAGAAACTCACGGCAGATTTGGGGTGACCGCCAGGTGATGCAGGCACCTGCCTCATTGCAGGCCTGAGCATAGGCTGCAACAGCTGTGCAGAAGCACTCACAGTCCCCTCCACTGTCACAGGCACATGAGTCTTTGACACAGTCATCATAGAATTCACTGGGATCCACCTTAGCAGAAATTACAAGCGCTGTCAAAATGCTAGCTATTACAAAAATTACACTTATGGTGCATGCATCTTAATGGCAATATTAAATGTATAGGTTCGAGGTATTTAGGTTAGTCATGCAGATTCCACAAGGCACCCCTAGCATAGACAGTAATCAAGAGTGTAATCAGATTTTGTACCTTAGAATGACAAGCAGTGAACACATTGCTGTTGATAATGCTGCACTGTTTCTGGGCCCAAGACTTCCTGTATGGATTGGTGCTGCAAGGATCGTTGTTGCTTGTATCATTAAGGTTGTTCGATGAGACTGCCCAGCTGTTCCCAAACTCAATGGGGTCTACAACGACTAACTGGCTTCGAGTGATGAAATCATTGTTTCTGTTGCCATCGTAGTTTCCACACAAGCCACAGACTTGGCCCTAGATGAACAATCAAAAACACAAGACGTTGAGGGTTAGAACCAACTAGAAATAAGATGGAGATTAATACTGCAATCACATATTTTAAAAATTGTATTTACTCACTTTATATGCAGGACTCAGTTTGATGAATATGCTAGTTTTTCTGTCCCACATGAATATGAGGCTATTGTTGGCTTCAATAACAATGTAAATCCCCATAATTCGGATCTGGTATGGCACCTCTATGCCTGTATTTTTCGGAATTACTTTGTATTCTCCCTCCGAAAGGATAAGTTCATTATTCTGAAATAAACAGAGATTATATGTGTTAATAACCAAAAGGTTTGGGTAAAGATCTCATCCTTCCCTGAAGTGGACAGAAGATTGATCTTTCTCCCTCACCCCTAGGAAGAGCTTAATAGCCTTAGAGCAGGTGGCGCCTGTGGTGCCACATGGAATGTTCTCAGTGATGACTCTGAAGGTACCGTTGGAATTGCTCCCACCACAATAGTCCTGCAAGAGTGTTTCAACTTCAGAACTCTTACATAACACTTGATTTTCATAAAATGTAATTGTTATTGTAAAACCGAGTGACATTTTTACTTCATGAGAACGTGAGTACGGAAGTTTAAATCACTCTGACATACCTGGATGAGAACATATTCACTGTTTCCATTGAAGTTGTACCTTTTCCCATCAACAGTGACATAATGTCCATCTCCATAGACAGAACAGGTACCATAGCACTGATTATTGGTACAGTCCCACTTCCTATTCTCACAAGTACTGAAATAAAGAGAGAACAGAAAATCTGAACTAAGAAAATCAATATAAGCCACAATATAGCTTCATATTTGTATACTTTCATATGACTCTGATATTACAGTAATTGTCCAAAGATGGAGAACATACCATGTGTTGCAATCTACTTTAATACTATCTCCTGGATTATGTGGAGCATCATTGTAAAAACAGGGGCAGTTCTCTTCCTCTATACATCCCTCGTTCCCATCATATACCATGCCGGGGGGGCATGTACAGCCTGACATACATTCTGTGCTGATCTGTGACAGGGGAATAAAAAAGTTAGTCGGGTGCTATTGGAAACAATCGCTTACAGTCGGCATCTCTGCTTTATAACTGGATGAAGTGTGTACAACCACAACCATCACTAGGAGAAGCGTTCTGAAGATGGATGGATGGATGGATGGATGGATGGAGGGAGGGAGGGAGGGGGTGAAATGTCGACATTGGTATCATGTTATCATGGTGTAAAGTGCTAACTATCAGCCGACTTACACATGTCATATCCAGATTCTTACAGCTCTTCTGACACTCAGATCCTACAGCACCTAGTCCAGCACTTGAGCAGTTGAAGAAGACCATTGGGCTTTGGCATCCTAAGGAGACAAAGAGAAGCTAGTCACTCTTCCCACAGAACTGCCTTATCAAACTTTATTTATGAAGTAATTTAAGCTGGTCAGATCATGTTTGGGTTCATTTGAATATTCTTGATAACAAATAGATTTTTCAATGAAAAAATAAGCACATACTCGTTTCGGCAGAAAGGGGCAACACGGCCATCCCGTCACTGCATACGCTGCAAGATGAAGGACAGTAGCATTAGACAGATCTGCATGTACAGACTCTAATTCAGCTGCCACCAATGAAGCCACAAAAAATTCAAGAAAATGTCTTGAATTGCACCTGTATCCTTTAACACAGACACACGCACACACACACACACACACACACATCTAGTTATCATGATTTCATTGTTGGGCTCTTAAGCTAGGCTCTTAACCCCAAATGCAGAAGGGACTAGTTGATCCTGCTTCCTCATTGTACATTGGTTTAGATACAAGCATCTGGTAAATAAGTCAATGTAAATACAATAAAGGGAAGTTTCATGGGGTGGATATTATGATCGACAATATGTTGCATCTTTGCAGATTTAGGGAAACTGCAAGCAAAGAATGAACCTGTAAATGGAGTGAAAGCAAAACCCTGTGATTATGAGTGGGAAACCCCTACCCCGATGCCAGGCTCTCTTGGCAGAGGCAGCTGTCTTGCTGGACACAGCTCCCCGCCTGGTCCATGTAACTCCCTTGATCACAGCCACAGCCATCTACGGCTGTGAATTTCACCTGACAGGAGTAGTCTGGCTTAACGAGGGAATCGCAGGTGCGGCCGCAGCTGTTCATGTCGTAGGAGTAGACCATGGTGCTGGGGCAGCTGGCTTTGTATGTCTCTGGACAGGTGGATGCAGGAGGACACGGTGTTAATGTGAATGTCGCTGAACTCTTTTAGGTTGTCCTGCATTGAATGACACCAAACTTACGGCAGATGGTATCCCTCCAACCGGAGAGCAGCACGCCCGCATCAGCACAGGCATGAACATAGGCGGAGATAGAAGCACACATGCATTTCTCGCTGTCTGCGCAGTTGCAGCTGTCATACATGCAGTTCTGCAAGGGGAGAGCAGAGTTTCTTAAAGGGAAGTTTCAATGATAAGTATTTCATTTTCATTTTAACTTTAGTACTAGCAAGGGTAGGAATCTACCAAACAGTGAGGGATGTATAAGTGTGGGTAGACGTACATCTTCATAGATGCCTGGACTTATCTCGGTATGACATGGCGCAAACACTCCCTGTGGGTCTGATAGCATGGAGCACCAGTACTCAGCATATCGCTCTGAAATAGAAAGATTGATTACAATGCAATTGCAGAAATTCATCCATCTTCCACATGCTTATCCAGAACAGGGACGCAGGGAGCTCAGGCCACGTAGCGCAACGTCATTCCATCTCAAAGCACAGCCACACACTCACTCACATGCAATCACACACTACTGGCAATCGCCTACTGTCTCCGGGCTCTGGAAGGAAACCGAAGGCCCTGGAGGAAAAATCTTTAAAAATCCTGAGGGAAAAGGATATACAGTAAGAACAGCTGACAGAAATAATGGGTACCGTTGTCCACACTCTGGCTGCAGGGGTTGACAAAGCTGCTGCTCACATCTGGGCAGCTGGGTCTTGTTTTCCAGGTGTTGGCAAAGGCCACAGCTGTTCCCTCTACCAGTCCACTATCAGTCTTGAAGTCGTCAGCCTGGATGTTGTTGAAGCTCCCACAGAGACCTGTCGCAAAAATAGGAAGATAGGAAATGTGGGCATGGCGTGTGGTTCAGCAGGTTAGGGAACTGTGCCCTTGGGCAAGGTCCTTACCCCTCAGTTACTTGAGGGACTGGCTAATCTCTCAAAAAAGTGCGTCGCTTTGGATAAAAGTGCCTGCTAAATAAATGTAAAATCACAGTGCACCCCCCCGCCCCCCTCCTATTGATGTGGTTATACCGACAAGATCTTCAGGAAGAAGGAGATGGGAGTGCGTACCACATGTCCTATCTTTGTAGGATGAGTCCAGAGAGATGTAGACCTGCATGGTGGGGATGAACTGGACCATGAGCTGAATCCCAGACATGGTTTGTACAATGCCGTAAAATGTGGAGGGTCTGAAGATAATCACAGATGCTGTGAAACAAAAAAAAGGGTTATTTATAAAACAGTTCAATTATATGACTTGGACATGGAAGCTGTGGTCTTAAAAACATAAACCTTACTTGTGTAAATTGGCAGCTTTACGCTCAGTCCATTAACAAGCACATTTTGATCGTCCTGGATTCTGATGACCTTTAGATACAATGGGTTTTTGTCAGCATCATCAAGTCAGATCAATATGAAGATTGTTGCCCCAATCTATAAATAGCTCCCAGAGTAATCAAACAAATTATTACTTCACCAGGAATAAGCCCGGCTTACTCACAGTGGACCCATCACTGATGGAGAGAGTCACGGTGGTGAGACATGTCTCTGTGTCAGACTGTCCACACTTATTCAAGTCTCCCAAAATGGTGAAGTCAGTTCCGTTACATTCCTGTAGAAATACACAAAATGTAACTTGAATGTCAGATCACTGTTTTGCCACTTGCATGGTTCCTATCCCCAACTTGCTACAAAAAAAGGAAAACTAAGTCACTGACCTTTGTAAGGACATAGGAACAATCTCCATGAAAGCTATAGGCTTTGCCATCAAAGGTGGTGATGTGTGAACCTCCTTCCACGTAGCAGTTACCTGGGCAGTCCAGGTCTTGGCAGTTCCATTGGCCTCCATAGCACATGCTAGCAGCACAAATTGAAGCACTTGATTGAGCCAATGCATATCCATTTAGAGTTAAAAAGTACTAATCTCAGTAGTGTAAAGTTATATAACGCTTGAGTTTCTACTGGTTGCCGCACAGTAATTCTTTTGCAAACAGTACATTCTTTGGGGTCAACTTCAGGGACTTATTGCCCACTATCTCCCCACTAGGATATCAGAAAGAAATGGGTTTAACGAAATTCCACTTAATACGAAGACACCATCTTTCAGTCTGTGAGGCAGCCGCTGCAGGTTGCTTACCAGCTTTTGCAGCCGGTCGTATACAAGTCCCCAGATTGGTAAACATTCCCATTGTGTCTGCAGGAGCACTCCTCCAATGGGATGCAGCCTTTCTGGGTGATGTCATCCATAACCATGCCTGACACAGATCAGAGGAGATTTAGAAACCCTCTTTGAAACTGACTTGGTGAACTCGCACTGCAAATGTATGTAATTTCAGGTGAGGGCAATCTTCTGAGCATTAAATCAAGTATACATTTTAAATGAATACGATACCAGGTGGGCAGAAGCATCCATCAGTACAATGTTCCTCGCACAGTTGCCCTCTCTCTGGGTTAGAACAGGTGTCAGGACAAGGAATGCCACATTCCTGATACTCCATGTTGGAGGGACATGACACAGCTGCCAGATATAGGGAGGCAAAGGTCAAACCCTGAAATCCAACAGAAGTACCACTTTAATGAGAATTAGTCTTATGTTAATATTTATTTACCACAAAACTGGTCCGTCCTCCATTGCCCCGGCGCCCCCCCTGCATGGACACATTGACGTGAGTACTCTGAAATGGTGTTGCACAGGCAGAAGGATCTGTTGCTGTTGTCACACTGGCACATGTCTTGCGCGCAGGCCTGGATAAAGGGGTCGACGGAGACGAGGTCCTGGCAATTGCTGAAGGCAGAGCTGCTCAGCAGCTCCTGGCAAACTGGAACCTGGCAGTGAACAGGGAAGAGGCGGAGCTTAATACACAGGAAAACTCAGCTCTATGATGACATCGTGATCAGTGACTAAAGGTGTAGAAAAGTCTTCCAAAGTCATATGGCATTATATACAAGTGCGTTAAACTTCCACATATTTCATGACTGTAATCAGACTAAATACCTGCTCCCCACATTCCTGTACAGTCTGAAGTTCACAGCTTTCTGTTGGCCCGTCCATTCTCCACATGTTAGCCATTTGCAATGTATTCATTAACACACCTGAAAGGAAATGGACTGTTTAAACAAAGTCAACCCCCCCCTGTGGAATTCTCCGGAAGAGGACACTGAATGGTGACTCACCATTTGTGTAGAACTCATCATACAGAGGTACGCTGTTGAAGTCTCCGCAAAGTCCACAAGTCAGGTTTCTGTATTTACTGTCCAGCTCCACCTAGGGACAGTACAGAAATTAGTAACCTATTAAGACAAGTAGAGTGTTAAATAAATCGCTGAAGAATGCCGTTTCCCCAGAAGCTTATAACAGCACATTAAATGAGATGAATCACCTGCACTCCTTAAAAAGGTCAAAGCCAACCAGCAGTATTTTTTATGCATTAATATCAGTCAGTCCACATTTTTGCCCGCACACCTGATTTAACCTGTCAACTACAGTACCCTTTTTGGCCTGGCTTAGCCTTGCAGGTGGTGGACTAGGAAAAAACTCATGAACTGGCTGAGGGGAGCTGAGGACTGGGTTAGGAACTATTGACCAAAGGTGCTTAAATGGTGGTGAACAGACTTTACAAATATATTGCAAGCAGCACAGCATTAATTTGGATTGAATGGCGCATAGTGATCCACCCATCCATCTCCCCAATAAGCATCCTATAGAGGGTCAGCCTAGATCCTACTGTAGGAATCACACACCATACGGCAGGGGAATTCCCAGGATGGGACAGCATCTAATCACAGTTTTCCTCAATTGTGTGTTGCTTTGAACAAAAGAGTCTGCTAAGTAAAGTAAAATGTAATGCAAATGTACACACACAGTCCCACAGTATGGGGAATTTAGAAACCCCAGTCTACCTAACCTTCCTTAGGGAGAAACCCCATGACGCTGCATAGGGAGACTCAACGCTAAATGCTATGCTAAGACGCATGAGTTTCCTAATGCATGATATTTTTGTTCTTCGGAAAGCCGGGTATGTTGGAGATGCAAATTATTAAAAATAACATTAAAAAATGAATTTATGGAACATTTGTACCATGAGATAATCGTTTTCATTCCACTGGAGCTGCAGTCCCAGCCTTGTATGGATAGTCACGTAGGAAGGGGTCCTCTCAATAAGAATTCCCGCTTGGCTGAAAGGCGCCACGACTCTGGGGGAAACAGAATTCCAGCAGAGATATGATTACTTTGTAGTAACTTGGGCAATAATCCATTTTGCTAATAGAACTTTAGTAAATAATCATATACTTTATGGTTAGGAGCTGATACTTAGAATTTCAGTCTTTTAACCAGAATGTATTGATGCCACTCAGGTGCCAAAAGAAGGGTAGCACTCACATCTGCCCATTGACCTCAATGGAACCATTCTGGAGCACCACCACCGTCCCATCGAGCTTCATCGTGATCTTGCTGATGGTGGGCAGATCATCTACAACCTGACGCCTCATCTGGATGTTGAAATCCTCATAAGCAGTCTTGCAGAGTGAGGTTAGGATGTAGTTGCAGGTTGAGGGGAGATTGAAGAAGTACCCATCAAAGGTCTTGAAGTGATAGTTTCCCCATGTGCTGCAAATCTGTCCATTGTGTGAAGGGCTAACACCTAGGGCAAAATAGATAACAGCATCATCAAGCTAGTCTCAGATAATCACACTCTTTAATCACACTTTTACTGTAGAGCACGTTTGTAAGCTTCCTACCTGCAGTCTTTGGGATTGTCAGCAACGGTGGAATGGCTGTAATGGTCTGGTTGCTTACTAAAAATGAAAGGACACATATTAAATGTGTTGCATAGTTTTCTGATGGTAGCTAATGACGTAAGATGAGCAGAAAGGTCAATGGTAAATCAGTGCATATATATTAGTGTCATCATATTTTTCAATTCACTGGCCAGTCATAGTAAGACTGTCAGTTGTTCTGACTGGAATGAAGAACAGTTAGGTGCAATTTCATTCTGTATCATTATATAATAATACTTTTTAACAATTTTTTGAAGGAGGGTTTATGAAGTACACAACCATCCGTAGCCATTATAAGAAGTAAGAGGACATATTTTTACTCCAATCAGGGTTGGAGGAATGTTTTTTTTTTCAATTTATATTTTTTACTATCACTCATTATTATTTTTTTACAACTATGATCTATATTGAACCAAATCTTTTATATTGAATCATTTAAATACTTCATACGGTGCCATTTATCTAGGTCACAGAAAATACAAGCATGACAAAATGATCATACATATACATACTATGGACAATTTAGTCACCTAAAAACATACTTTTTCTCAACTGGAGAAAGCCAGAAGAATTTCAGGGCCATTAACTGACACACAAATTTGATATTACAACCTTAAAATACATTTGGTCAGTGAACATTGTCCATGCATACTGTCCATGTTTCTCTCTAGAAAAAACTAGTTTTGAACTAGAAATTCGTAGTCTACCAACCTGTTTGTGTGGAGGAGAGTCCGACAGACATTGCCATCCATACCAGTACCCAGTAGGGTACGTTCATTGCCGTACCCATGTCCCCCCTGTGTCTTGAGTCTCACTAAGCAACACCTGTCTTGAGCAATATGCATAAGCATGCGTTGATTTTTATACCACCTAACTCTGAGGAGGGACCAGCATGCTTAAAAGTTAAGGATGAAGGTGGAGCACAATTCTAAAGTTGTTAACAATAGGCTTCGGGAAATACAATAGATTCCCTCCCTAATTTGTAAACATCCTACATCAAAATTGTCTGCTATTTCATTATACACTGTGTCTCACTTTCTCCTTCTTTCATGTTGAAAATATACCTTTAAGCTTTAAAACAAAAGAGAAACAAATATAAATAATTCATCACCAAAATTTGGAAGAAGAAATGAGATACCTATTAAAATTATTGTGTGGATATTGTCACTTGATTATTTATTTTAACGTTAATGTAAGAAGAGCTATCGTCAAGTCAGTTAACACTCCATGGGATTTTACTTAAATGGAATTGCGTGTATAATGTTTTTATGTCCAGCCTCTCGTTTGGTTACTTTGTCCAGTTGTTAATGACATTGACAGTAAATGTATTATTTTTTATATGTAATATTACTTGAATATGGACAGCCATAATTACTACATTAGGCAGTATATTAGCAGAATTCAACAGAAGTACCTATACATTTTTTAAGGAATACAGGTTACTTTGGAGCACGTCCTGCTAGGGGCTCCTCACTGAAGCATTTTGCTGTGTTTTGGTAACACTAGTTTTATAATTACATTACACAACTAAAATCACCATTATTGCTTGGATTACATTACCAGAGCTGTGGTGTTATGTAATTATGCAGATAGAAATGACCCGATTCACCTCACCAGCTGTATTTCCAGAATCTGTAATAAGTTATTTAACCCCCAAAACAAATCGAATAATCGTTTGTTTTTTTTTCGCTGATGTCCTCTCAGCATGACTGGCCACACATGCCGGGATTTCAAATGAAAATGTCTTTCATTCCGTTTGCATGGAAAAACAACATGACAGTTTTCAACGATTTTAACAAATATGGTTCTGGTAATGACAGGAACTCCATCAATCCATCATACCTGCTTATTCATTGCAGGGTCGGGGTGAACCTGGAACCTGTCCCAGATCCATGTCCCACAATCAGAGACACATCCCATCTATCTATGTTCTTGTCCTGGTCATGAGCGGGGGGGGGGGGGGGGGGGGGGTTAGCATAGACACAAGGTTGGGGTACACCCAGGATGGGATGCCACTTTATCACAGGATTTCCCAGTATTCAATAAAATATGACAGCACATCTGATTTGTAGACTTTATAGATGACCAGAAGTCTCACAGCAATTTTAGCAGTAAAGGAATGTTTCCTATTACCCATAAGTAACCCTTAACATGTACTGATCTTGGACTGGCCTTTGTTTTGTTCATATAGTGAAAGGTCCTGTTTTGCAGCACAACGTCCTGTTCTGACCAATCCCTAAGTGTAATATTGACCATATGTTGTAATGTTAGTGTGTTAGTCATATTTCAATCACAGGATGGTTTTCTTCAGAAGATTTAGTATCCTTCTTCATTTCCCACCCTTTTGAAAGCCTTGTCAAAACCACCACTGTTTACCAGGTTCATCGGCTCAAGGTGGTTTGTTTAATCATTACAGATTGATTCTCCAATTCTGAAACCTATTGCCTTGCCTTAACTGGGTAAACAGATGGAGTGTCAACCTGCCCTTAACATAAGCTTACAGTACAGAATCCAGAAGTAAAATAAATGAATATGATTTATGAGTGGCACCTTATTAAAGGTTAACGTGTGGTGTATTATTGTAAAAGAAGCATGGAAAGAGGTGAATGACGCAGATGCAGCATAATGATGAAATTGTGACGTCAAGTTGAGCAGATACTCCCTCCGTGATGAAGATAGCCAGTGAAGCATCTCTGAAGAACAGGGCTGCTTTTAGAGATCATGAGGATATACTTAGTGAGTGGGGATTTTTAAACATGACAACAAAAGTGTTTAAAATATATAAACTAACTTGTAAATAAAATGGCAAATCTATTCATCCTTTGGAGACAAGGTATCAAAAGAGGACAGATAAATTAAAACGAGGTCAGTACTGATAAGACAATGTACACATAAGACAGTGTAATAGTATATATTGATGTCAAATATTGTGATGAGAATATATCTAATTAACATTCCACCTTAATGATTGGTTTTTAAATATATTGATCATTATTTCCAGCATAAAATGTTATGACAGAAAAGTCAGTAAACACAATGGAAATTAATACCAGGCCATTTTATGAGCCACATTATCGAGTGAATCCCTTAAGTCTGGGGTGGCCAATCTTATCCGCAAAGGGCCGGTGTGTATGCAGGTTTTTGGGATAACCTGTAGGTCAGCTGTTCAAACCCAGGTGTGAGGACTCTTCAGCCAATCAGTCCCCTAATTAGAAATCTAATTAGGGAGCTGCAGCGAAAACCCACACTCACAATGGCCATTTCTGGGTAAGATTGGCTACCCCTGCTTTAGGTGTAGGGGTCTTGTGTACGCGGTCTACATTCAGCTGTCTTTCACCATGATGCATAAAAACAGAAATAAAAGGGCATTATCCCATCCATCTTGGTGTACACACAGTGGAAAGGATGTGTATTATAAAGGTGTAACAGTCTGCTGAGTAAACAAATTAATAATATTAAACATAAGGATGGACTTGCTTCCATGAACTATATCCTACCCCCTCCTTTTAAAACAGGATGTGAAGACAATAGCTCCTCTTTAAGGAACTGGCTCCAGTTTAAGATCTTTCTCGTCAGCCTCAGGGAGTTTCCCAGGCTTACATTGGCTCATTTTGTAGTGGTCAGGTCTGAATTCAGTTTGTAAAGCTACTTAGGCATTGTGCTAATGTTAAAAGGCAACCAATAAAGTTTTAGTTAAAAAAATGATGATAAAACATCCAAACTGCCTCTAGGGCAATGGCATATGTTTGGTTTCAACATTGGCAGGGAAAAAATCAGCCTCAAACCCCCTCACCCCCCTAAACACACATGCTACCCCCACAATATCGGTTGGGATGTGTCCCTACCATCCACACCCAAATATACTCCCTTGCTGTAGCGTTATATTAATTTTAAATTGAAATGATATTTAAATTCAGAGGAACAATAGCTATTCAGACATCAGGAAAAACTGCACTCAACTCCAAGGAATATTTCACTACACTACAGCTAAATCACATTAACAATCACTTAAGAAGCATCTTTTCATCAGGTCAGCAACATATTTCCTGACTACATATTTTAAAAAGCTGGTGATATCCATGCTTGTGCTGGACTTTAATGTAGGTTAGGACTGAACTTTGCCAGAAGGAGCAGCGTATCAGCGGCCGAATGTTAACCAGCTCAGCTGACAGACATAATGATGAGGATGTCCGTGCGGACCCAGGACCTTAACAAAATGTTAAAAAGCAAGAAAAAGACTGGGACTTAAACCTGTTACTGTTTCAGCTGCATGCTGCCCATTCCCCCAGTAATAACAGGAAAACCATATTGTCTTTTAATAGTTCATTGTCTTTTAATATTTTTCTATTTTATATATTTTAAATCTTGCTAGCTTTATTTTCGTTATTTTTAACTGACATTCTGTTTATGCAGTCAGTTGTATTGTGGCCTAATGGTTAGGGAAGTGTGTTTGTGAAGGAGAGGTTGTTGGGTCAAATCCCTGAACAACAAGGCATCACTGAGGTACCCTGAGTAGGGAATGGCCCCCATGTACTACCCCCTGGGTGCTAAATAATAGCTGCCCACTGTTATGTCACATATTAGTTAAATGTAGAGGATTTCATTATGGTGTGTCAACAATGACAACGAATTGCTTCATATTTTCACTTTTTAGTTAAATAAATAATGAAGTTATTTGCTTTTAAGTAACTAATTTTAACACTGAACAAGGTAAACTTCAGCAAGTTATTCTCTATTTAAATATAATTATTGTTGCCAGTAACCCTTTGCGTGACAAACTGCCATTATAAGCATCAATACTATAAAATTCAGATGTTGAAAAACTAAAGATACAGATGAACCCTGCTCTTTTCAGCCCAATAGCTCTCAGGTACACATTTTTGTTTGAATAACGCAGATAAGGCACTGCTGTCCCCAAGACCAAAGGCTATGTATGTCCTTAGCTTAGTGTCAGGCCCGACTGCTCTAGTGATATATCACTCTCTAACAGGAATTATTGATTTAATCCAGTGAGGATGTCTGGATAAGTTGTGTTGTAACAAAAACAATAGTGTTTCAAAGACAGGACGCTCTGCTTTGTGATTGAACATTATTGCTTTTCTCTCTGACGTTTTTACTAAGAAGAAATAATCTCTCTAATACTAGACAAACAGAATACGCCATATGACGTTTATTTTACATTGGCATAGTTAGTCTCCAATTATCTGAAGTAATATATAGACTAATTCTTGAATAAATATTTATTCAAAGAGGAAACTTCTTCGAAACTCATTTATCATTTAGCATAGTTTAAATACATGGAAATAAGGTGTACAGTATATAAGGTGTATAACTGCACTTATAAAGATAAAAATTGTAGTATTTATTATAACTGTAGGGGCGGCATGGTGGTGCAGTGGTTAGCACTGTTGCCTCGCACCTCAGGTACTCCGGTTTCCCCCCACAGTCCGAAGACATGCTGAGGCTAATTGGCGTTGCTATATTGCCCTTAGGTGTGCATGTGTGAGTGAATGGTGTGTGAGTGTGCCCTGCGATGGGCTGGCCCCCCATCCAGGGTTGTGCCCATTGCTTCCGGGATAGGCTCTGGAACCTCCGCGACCCAGTAGGATAAGTGGGTTGGACAATGGATGGATGGATGGATTATAACTGTAACTTCAGAAACAAAAAATTAGAAATTTGGATTCAGAAATACCTGGTAGCTTTGTTTGTAAAGCAACATAATAAAAATAATTTTGTCCTAAGCTTACGTCACCTTGATCATTGTCATGTCTGGAACTAAAAGTGTGTTATTGAGATGTGATTGGATGGCACGATTAACACTGTCACCTCACACCTCTGGGATCTCTCAGGGATCTGGGTTCCATGTGTGTGGAGTTTGCATGTTCTCCCTGTGTCATCGTGGGGTTTTCTCCAGGTATTCCAAAGCCCCCCCGTCCCTGCAGTCAAAAAACATGCTGAGGCTAATTGGAATTGCTAAATTGTCCATAGGTGTGAGTGTGCCCTGTGATGGGTTAGTGCCCTGTGATAGGTTAGTACCCTGTGATGGGTTGGCGCCCTGTGATAGGTTAGTGCCCTGTGATGGGTTAGTGCCCTGTGATGGGTTGGCACCCTGTGATGGGTTGATGCCCTGTGATGGGTTGATGCCCTGTGATGGGTTGGCGCCCTGTGATGGGTTGATGCCCTGTGATGGGTTGGNGGGTTAGTGCCCTGTGATGGGTTGATGCCCTGTGATGGGTTGGCGCCCTGTGATGGGTTAGTGCCCTGTGATGGGTTGATGCCCTGTGATGGGTTAGTGCCCTGTGATAGGTTAGTACCCTGTGATGGGTTGGCGCCCTGTGATGGGTTGGTGCCCTGTGATGGGTTAGTGCCCTGTGATGGGTTGGTGCCCTGTGATGGGTTGATGCCCTGTGATGGGTTAGTGCCCTGTGATGGGTTGGCGCCCTGTGATGGGTTAGTGCCCTGTGATAGGTTAGTACCCTGTGATGGGTTGATGCCCTGTGACCTGCATCCTGTAGCTCCACTCTACTGCCTCTGCTACAGTATATTTATACTCTTGTTATCCATCAACTTTTACACTGAATTCTGTGTGCGTGTGTGTGTGAATGAGCGGTCCCCAAAAATATATGATTACATGACTGTGTGTGCGTGTGTGTATGTATACAAAAAAAACTGTTAAGACTGATAGCTGTTAAGTACCATGCCCTGGCACTGACTGTATCAAGAGAAAGCACTGCTGTGATCCAGTGAAGAGAACTTGAATCAGGGAAAGCAATTGTACTCCCTAGACGAGCTACATCAAGCAAGAGCACAAAAATGCCCCCCATAAACCCTAAACATCAGGGTAACTTTACTGCATCACCAATAAACTCACAACTATGTTAATCAGGGATTTGCAGACCTTCAATTCAATTAAATGATTTCCCCCAGTGGAAAAAATACCAAAAATGTGGTTACCAGAGCTCACCTATGGACCAAGAAAGAGTTCCACGTCACATTTATATTTTTATAAATATTTATAAATCATATAAGTCTAAAAAGCCAATATCAAAGAAATTTTATATCATATATTTTGCAGCTGTGTTGGTAAGATTTATTATTGGAATAAAAAAAAAAATCAGTCAGAAGAAATTATAGATTTTATTTTATATTCACGTATAAGGAACAAATTGGCACATTTCTGTTGATATAAAATAAAAACTGACTCATACGTATTGTTGAACAACTTTTCAATGCTAGTAAGACTTACGAGACCCTTATTTCCGTCTTGCCAGCAAGTCGGAGATTTATGGCATTTTTATTCATGCGTTTGCCTTGATCCACTGTATAAAATCCAACAGATGAGTTTTTCATTCATATTTGTCATACAGTACATCCATTGAGGTGCAAAAATATTTTTAAAATTATGAAAAGTACATCGACATTGATGCATTAAAAGTCTCAGTTTATATGCAAAGTTAAAGTATACAAAGTTCTCTTCTGCATAGAATCACTTATTATCAGATTGAATTCTCATACAAGACAATTGTTCTAAAATCAAATCACAGTCTTACAATCAAGGAAGAAAATTATAAGCAGAGGTCGGTAATTCAGGTTCAAAGAGTAAAAATCTAGACCAAGATTTTTTTTCAACCAATCATTTGAGTGGTCTATGACTGACTGTTTATGCTCCACTGGGTGGATAAAACAAAATCTTGGTCTGGACTTTTACTCTCTGGATCTGAATCTCCCATCTCTGATCATAAGGCAGTGGCACAGCTGGCAATATCATGACAGGTGGGAAATGGCCAAATGATGAGGAGACCCTGGTTATAAAACCACTGGAGCAGCAAGCCCCAGTTGACCTTACTGGTTGGGTTTGCTTTTTCTTTTACAGGCTCGTAAACATTCTAACTTTCTGCTCATATTGTCCAAATTCATATTATATGGTCATGACAGATCCATTCCCTGGCATTAATGAGACTGAAAACAGACAAAGGGTGACTTCCACACTGAGAAGCCACAGCACACATTCCTCAAGCTCATTCTGACAAACAAATACCAGAGTGTACCTCCCTGTCCTGTCCACTTCTGCATTTTATACACAAATATCTGTACCCAACACATTCTCCTAAGCTGTGGGGAGCAATGGCTTTCTCACTGAAATAAGAGCAGCCAGAATTAATTGTCCACTACAGTATGGGCCATAGACAGGGTTACTGTAAATAATGGGAACAGCTGAAGCTGGTCTCCATCCCTGCACAGTTCCTCTGTTGTAAGCCCTTCATTCAGTTAACCGGTGTGCAGAATAGACAGGTCCTATCAAGTAAGTTATCATTTCACAGAGAAACTGGGAAAACAAAGCATAGTATTATATTGTACAAACAAACACAAAAACTGAATTGTTAGAAAGTTAATTAACAAATATCATTTATGTATGATTATATATTAAGAATAACAAACACCTTTACACTATACACTGGAGAAGTTCAATGTAAAATAGGAAAGAAAATTGAATATTTATTATGGACTGCACTACGAGGCTGTTGAGGTCACATTGATCGGGTGGGGCTCATTTGGCAGCATAGAGTTTAAAACTGATCTGAGAGCAGCTCACATAGCTGTTGGGACACACTGTCCCTGCTGGTGCGTAGGGTAAGTCTGTACATCTGTAAAAGAAGAGAAGAATGTGGACATGAGTGACAGAAGGTGATGTAGTAAGAGGGAACGGTGTAGGAACAGGTATCTGAAGAAGTTATGAGGCCAGTTGGAAGAAGGTACAAGGAGATGTGGTGCGAGGCTCAGGCATAGGAGTCATCAGTAAGGAAACATGCTGAGCTGGTGGTGAAGGAACACAGAATACAGTATTATTAACAAAGGAAAGGTACACACAGCAATGAAGGTATAAGGACAGATGGGAAAAGGATATGTGTAAACACTGAATTCCTCCACAGTTGCTCACTAAGAGAGCAGCACAAACTCCTCACTTCAGCAACCACTTTAACTTTCTTTCTTTTACTGGCATGTTTGCACTTTCTGTTATCCGCTGCTACATTACCTGCTGCTAAATTATCGTACATACTGTATATTATGTGTAGAAAGTTTATATTTAACATTGCTATGTTCAGATAGTTCGCATACATCATCCGTCTGCCCTCCTGTCGTGTCATGTGCACTATGTGTTAATTTGCACTTTGCCCCTGTAATTGTGTTCATACAGCGCCCCCCCCACATGTATTTTATGCTGCACCGTGGTCCTGGGGAAATGATGTCTCACACCACTGTATACTTCTGTATGACTGGCATGAAAATAAAGTCCCACTTGGCTTGACTTGATGTATTTCACTGACATAGAACCAATGTGAAGAAAAATTGTCTGGTGGAGAGACCGGCTCACCTGTGCTTGGGTATTGGGTTCCAGTCTCATCAAACATCCCACCTGCGTTGTCTTGGTATGGATGATTCCAGCACCAACAAAGTTGGAGGGGTTGGGATCTACCTGGTCCAAAAGGGCTACACCAAATCCAGCGATCTGAAAAACAGCACACTGCTAAATCCGCTGTGGATATCAGGGCACAAAACCTAATGCTACCTCTTTGTATTTTGCTATGAGGCCATTTTGTGGTGATTACCAATGAGTTACACCATGCAGAGTTTATCAACATGCTGCCTCATCCAAAATGAGGTTGGGCGAACTACCCTTATGTGCATGTAGAGAAAAAATACAGGAATGTCACCAGACTGGGTTCTGGAAATTTAGAATTGCCCCATGCAAACTGGAACCTCGTTAACAAAGCCCAGTTTACCCAGATTGGACTCCCTTAACGATGACCACCTGATTAGAAGGTTTTGTTTGCCAATTTCTATCACAATCAGTTTATGGTCTTATGTGCAACTTATATACACTTATTCAACAGAACAGGATGATTCTAGAAGGGCAAGCACATGCGAACAATACAGAGAGATCTTGAGCAATGTTTGCAAGATCATGAATTTTACAGGCGAAATATGCAACAGAATAAGAAACAATTCAGGTGAAATCTTAATATTTTCTTAAAACACAACTTTAATTAAATTTAATTTTACTAAAATTAAAATCACATCACAATACCCAGCAAGGTATCCAAATCAAACCAATAGGGATGTAACGATACACTCAACTCACGATTCCATACGATTCACGATTCTGAGTTCACGATACGATTTTCTCACAACTTTTTAGCAGAATGAGCTTCAAACAAATTTATTCAAAAATATTTCTTTATTTATCTTTCTAAACTGCAAAATGTGTCCTCTTCTTAACAGTGAAACTGAAAGATAATACTGTTTTTAAAAAATCCCAAATCAAAATAAGTAAATAAAAAAATTATCTTCAAATAAATAAACTAAGGCTTGCATGTGCAGCTTTTTAGCATGGTTTGCCCTGTTAATAATCTTTGCTCAGCTCACTGTGATGCCGGTGGACATGCTGAAGCATGTTCATTGTGTAATTTGTGTATGTTATCAGTCTTTTACAATGTCTGCATGCAGTTTTTGTCTTGTCTGTGCTTTTCTTGCTGTTTTTGTTTGTGATTACCGGAAAGCTAAAATGCTGCCACACCGCCGATTTAAGATTGGGCATGGTTGGTGCGTCTATCCATCCATTTTCTGAAACAGCTTAATCCCAACTGGGGTCGCAGGGGGGACCGGAGACTATCACAGGAACAGTGGGTGCAGGCGGGAACCAACCCCAGGCAGTTGCCTACGCACCACAGGACGCACACACTCACACAACTACAGGGCCAATTTAGACTCACCAATCAACTTATCCTGCATAGTTTTGGACCGTGGGAGGAAACCGGAGCCCCCGGTGAAAACGGGGAAAGCGTACAAACTCCACACAGAAAGGACCCAGGACCTTCTTGCTGTGAGGCAGCAGTGCTAACCACTGCACCACTGTGCCGCCCGGCTGTGCGTCCTCAATTTCAAATATGCTCGCCATCTTGCGTTCGGTCAAAACCAAAAACTGACGTATGACGTCGACGTGAATATGCAGTGACATCTGTCGTCGAACTGACATCGTGAAATCAAATGTAATATTACACCAGTTTTTCTGTTAAAGTATTATGAAGTACTCCTAAAGTAGTGATTAATTTTCCACATCAGCCAGTTTAAATCGTCATACATTTACATTGATTTTTAACCGATTCGTGATTCATCGCTACATGCCTACAAACCAAAGAATGGTTTTATACTGATGCTGAGCCAGGTTCTTATGCTAAGATCTTACTTTGGCTTTGGTGACATCCATGTCCATGGGATTCTTTGCTTTAAAGATCTTCTGTACCTCCTGCTGGGGGCTGTCAGTTTGATACAATAGATAAAGGTTAGGGAAAGGAATGTAGCACAAGACAAAGACAAAGGAAGGAGTCAAGAATAAGGCAAGATAGGTAACACAGGTTAGGCTCTGTGGGTGTGGGTGGTAGCAGAACAGAATATGGGAGGGAACAATGAGCAAAACACTCTTACATGCTCAGCTGCTTCCAACGCTGAAAGAATTCTTGTGATGACATCTCAGTCGGCTGGAAAAACTTGTTTAAGGTGACTGGAAGCTTGAAACCTATATTCTGCAGGGTGCCCCCATACCTGGAAGAGTAAGTAGTTGCCATTTGCATGGTAATGGATAGCCGATGTAGGCCAGTGGACTTCAGTGAACAGCCAAACATGAAAACTGCCCAATAGGAAGAGAAATGAGTGACATTCCTATTGGACAGTCCTTAAATTTGTCTTAAGTTATCTGGCTAATGAAGAAATCTTGCTTTGTGGAATACCCACCAGCATTTACGACACAACAGACTAAAAGCCAGTCATCTGAAATGACCAATTACCTGAACTGGATGTTTAGACTTGGTGCCTCCTGGAAATCTGAAATACATTCGATGTTGAACATCTGTTGGAGTTGGGCACCTCCATTCACAACGGGGTCCACAGACTTAGCATGTACATTGACTTGTATGATATCATTAAGAACACAACACTAGAGGGAATGACAGGGTGAGCCGCCATATGCAGAGCAAAACAACAACACATGCTTAACTCCACCCTGTCTCAAACCCAACCCCGAACACACACAGCTTTGTACCTCAACTGAACATTTGCACATTGTCTGCACTGACTATTCATTTTGCATGCCGTATATCTCCAGTTTACACTTCTATCATTGCATCTTCTCATTTCCTGACACAATCATTCTCTGTACTTCCTGTCTGCACCATAAGCTACACAATACCTTATACAGAACCATAATTTACACTTATATTCATAACTTATCTGTAATTTATTGTATTTATTGGACCTGGTTAGATGGCGACTCTGTACCTGTAGCACTATGAAAATAAAGTTGAACCTAATCTAATTTTATTTCATTTAAGTTCCAATCAAGTGCATGCTAATAAAAAGAACATCTTGTCTTAATTATATTTTCTCATTATGAAGCAAACCTAAAAAAAAAAATGTAAATCTGCATAAATATTTCCCATAATAACTTTGCACGGCTTTTGATAATACACATTTTTTTAAAAAGGATATGAGATTTTAAGCCATCATGGCAGACCACAGATGGTGAGAAATCCAGGAACTGCATTGAAGTTTTATTTCCATAAAACACATGGAGGCGACCTAATGGAGAGGAAACAAATGAAACGTGGCGAAAAGTAATGGTCTTTATACTGATATATAATCTCATTATCGTAGGTGAAACACTCCGGTTTCCTCCCACGGTCCAAAAGCGTGCAGGATAGGTTGATTGGTGAGTCTAAATTGGCCCTGTAGTTGTGTGTGTGTGTGTGTGAGTGTGTGCGCCCTGCGGTGTGTTGGTGCCTGCCCAGGGTTGGTTCCCGTCTGTGCCCATTGTTCCCAGGATAGGCTCCAGTCCCCCGTGACCCCAGTTGGGATTAAGCGGTTTCAGAAAATGGATGGATGGATGGACTGAAACTCACCAAGATTTTGTCTGAACTCTGACTTCAGTCCAATCTGGAGCATTTGATTTTCAAACAGGACACCACTGTTCTTACACACAAACCTATCAGGGCACAAGAAGACATATTGTGAAACACAGAACCTCTATGTTTATCTAAGACGTGAATGCAGACAGGCCACGGAGATGATTCTGTTTAATGCAGAACCTCTGTGAAGTGATTGTTTCAGTAGCCAATGTGTTTAGTCGCCTCGTGTTCAGTGACACAGTGCTCTTCACCTGCATGAACTCCATTACGTTGAAAAAAGAGTAAAATGACCAGACTTCATGTCAATGAGGACAGCACCACCAAGTGGTGTATACTGTACCTACTTACCAAGCACCACCAAGTGGTGTATACTGTACCTACTTACCAAGCACCACTAAGTGGTGTATACTGTACCTACTTAACCAGCACCACCAAGTGATGTATACTGTACCTACTTACCCAGCACCACCAAGTGGTGTATACTGTACCTACTTACCCAGCACCACCAAGTGGTGTATACTGTACCTACTTACCCACCAAGTGATGTATACCTACTTATCACCAAACTTAAATCAGTTAAGCAGTAATATCCGTGCAAACAGTAGTCTTGGAATACCACTAGAATTAAGCCTTCCACCGCCTTTTGCAGCTGCTGCTTTCATGGTATGTAAATCCATTTTTTGAAACTTTTTTTGTAGGCGATATTCAAAATAAAAGTGCACACATCTCACAAAATATCACAACACAGAATAACAAAATGCAGGCAGTAAAACTTCTGTCTACAGTACATGTAATTCCAAAAATCCTATTAAAAAAAACTCTTAAAAGACCACAAATCACTGACGTCACCGGGTGGCAAAAAATTCTATTCATCAACTTTAAATTACTTTTACTTTTGTCCTTGCTGATGAAAAGGTCTAGATGATCCAGGTCAACTCTGCCCACCAGAAAGGTAGCTTTGTTAGATGTTCACTGACTTGCTAGAACACTCTTGACTCTTACTTGGAGAAGTTCTCAGTGGCAACAGGTGCAGCTGCAGCTTCGGGGACGGGAGACTGGTTATCAGCGAAGATGTCCACCAACAAGCTTCCCCTTGGAGCAGAGGAGGAGGAGCTTTGGCTGGAGGTACTACTCAAACCCAGCAGATCAGCCGACAATGGTGACAGAGAAGCCTGTAGGCAGAACATTTTTTTCTAGTAACATCCACAGCACATAAGCAGAAGAAGTTAAAAAATAGAAGTTAAGGATGTTAGACAAAGCATCTGTAAACGCAGCTGAGTGAGAGTGGCAGATAGAGTAGCCTGTACCTTAGTCATGCTGCTGGAACTGACTGACTCCACCGTGCCGTTGACTCCAGTATTCTTATCCTTGGGGCTGTCTTCTTGCTCAGGAAGCAAGCCCGGCCCTTTTCGTTTTTTCAGCTTGGACAGTATGGAGGACTCGCGTTCTAGAAAGGGCGGCATCTCTTCCAGAACTGTTGCCTTCAGATGGACACAAATGGAAATGAAGGCTTTGGTTAGTTGACCATTCCGGGTGAATGTTACGGTATTTCCTGGATCCTTCACACCTTCATCTTTTCACCCGTCCATTAAACTCCCGAAATCAGGCTTTAGAATTAAGAAAATCAGAATTATAAAAGCTTTTTTACATTCTGTTACTCTTCAATAGGCATCATGTTCATAAACAAGGGATTTGTGTCTACCTACTTATCACCAAACTTAAATCAGTTAAGCAGTAATATCCATGCAAACAGCAGTCTTGGATCTAAGCATTCTCAGCCTTTTGCAGTTATATCTAGTCCTCCCAGTTCCCAGCCCTCTTCTAGTACCAGGACATCAGTATTGGCGACGCAGCTCAGACGCAAGTACTCCACGGCACGCTGCTGTAGCTCCACGTCTGAGTTGCGGATCTGGCTGCTGGAGCGCAGAACATCCTGGATAGTGACTTTAATCTCTGGAAACAGGTTGATGAACTTGATGTAGGTAGAGAGAAGGAGGGCCCGAGTGGGCACTGAGCATAGGTGGAACTTGGAGTGCAGAAGGTTGAACTGGACCAAAGGGCTGCAGGGCCAAGGAAAGAGGTGGAGTCAGTGCACACAATGGAAGGAAGTGATTTATTCTACCAGCAAACCAGCAGGTACAGAGGTAGTTATACAGACACAATTCACTGCAGCTAAGAGGTCATGGGCAAAGCGAAGTCACACATACAGTATAAGCAGAGACAAGCTTCTACCTTGACCGGGGATCTCCAGCGATCAAGTTTCCAAACTCCCCTAAGATGTATCCCCCGACCTTCACCAGGTTCTCATGGCAAGCTGGAGCCTGAAGAGCCTGTCGGATCAGCAAGGCAGGTGGATTAGTGCAAGGTGGACTGAATGAGGAAGAGGGAAGCAGCCCCCACCCAGCCATCGTCATGATAAACAATGTGTGGTTGGAAAGGTTTAAAAACCCTGTACTAGATAAATATACATAATACTAACACAAAACAAGAATACACAAGTCTAAAAAAACTCAAATTGCAACTCCAATTATGATTGCATTAATTGCAACTGAATGCAATAAGTGCAATCCAATGATGAACATAGTAAAAAGGCAAACAAAAATAACAGTATGAAGCTTACAGAATCAGTGAAAAATCAGTTTGAACTAAAAACACTGCTGTTACTAGTTCTGATAGCCCACAAAATGAGTCTGCAGACACCTGAAAGTGGCTCTACATTTACCTCGAAGACAGTCTTGGCAGCATAGCCCTGGACCTCCTCGCGGCTTATGACGATCTGGATGACACGGTACCACACCTCTTCACTCACGTGATCGCCGGCAATGCGGATCAGATTCAGGATGGTGTCCACGTACCATGCATAGTCCACTGCATACTTCTCAGCTATGACGGCCACTTTAAGCACCTGGATAGACCATGACGAAGACACACATTTGTATAACATTATAAATCTCTTAACATCTGTGCATCTACAGTAGCGGTTCTCAACCTAGGGGCCGCAGGCCACTAATGGGCTTCAGCGAGGACCAAGGAGGGGCATGCAATTTTTTTCGTGAAGCACAGGAAAAATACTATTGTGCTAAAGCTAGCGTTGGGCAGTAGCCTATATTGAATTTATACGGTATATCGATAACCATTCAGTTAAGCGTCTCACGGGAAAGCTGACGGAGGGGAAAAGGAATCTTTGTTATTAGGTTCATTTCATTTTAAAAATATCAGAATTTCCAATATTTGTTTTATTTTGCTGAAGGCTTGTTAGTTATTAAGATATTCATAAACATCCACCTTCTTTTCTGAACTAAGAAAATAATAGTGCTAGTAGAAATTGTGGAGTAAAACCCTGTTTAAGTCATGTTCAAAAGAAATGACATTTTTGGCAGTGTAATCAAATAAACATATGTTTATATTAATTAACATTGGGAATTTTTGTCACCAATTCAGAACAATATCAGAACCTATATGGGCAGCGGGAGGGACACAGGGGGTCCCTGGATGACAAAAGGTTGAGAACCACTGATCTACACAGCATAACCAAAGCTAAAAGCTTGTTATCTAGATATATAATTCACCTTGAAAACAAAAGACAATGACTTATAGTTACTGAAGAACACAAATTTGGAATGCAAATGGAATTTTATACCGATTTCCAAACAATATGCAAAAAAGATCAGATAATGTAAATCAAGCAAAGACATTTGACGTAACAATCCTGCTCACAATCTCCTCCCGTATGGAATAGTCTGCTGTCTCCAGGTAGTCGAGCAACTCGGCCACAATCTGTTTGGCATTGCTGCGGTCACACATGGCATAGAGCAGGTCCACCGCCCTCTGCCTGACGCTAACATCCCGCTCTGTCTGCACAGAAAAGAAATTCCAGTAAAAATCATCATACTGAATGGGTCACTTGTAGTCGCTCATACTTAATTATCCTAAAATACGTAAGAAACATGTTATACAATCCTGAAAACAAGCCTGACTTTAGAGTCTGCAAATGTGCCTATTTGCATTCAGACTGACCAGGTGCATTTATACAGGAGTATGGAGATGTGCAGGGCATGGAAACACCACATAAAAAAGTACTCTAACTAAACCACAATTACAAAAACAGCTACAAAGGTGAGTCAAAATGGATTGAAGGGCATTCCAGGGCATGCAGACTTCCTCCTCCTTCATCCATCAAACAACTGCAGGCTTTTCTTTACTTTACTTTAACTTGGACGATCCCTGGAGTAATTGGGGGTTAAATTGAGAAATTCCTCTACTGAATGTGATTTGAACCAGTGACCTTCAGAGGCACAGGATGCAAAGCCACAAACCAGCCCCAGAAGACCTGTCAGACATCACACTAAGCGACATTCAGGATGTGCATGACAGCAGCCCACAAAGGACTAAAGCTGTACTGAAGCCAAACAGTGGCCCACTTCATATTATGGCCTTGATATTAATTAATATATTGTTGGGAGTTTCTGCTATTTTGTCCATCCTTATAAGGAGTTGAAAAAGTATGCAGGTCATCCACAACATGGCCTCACTGAAAAGCTTTGCCTTCTGCAGCTCACCCACAATATAACAAGGTCGAAAAGGTACCTTCAAGGCACTGATGACTGTTTCAATGTGTGTCTTAACAGCTTCATGGGAAAACTCTGAACTGGCCAGTGTGCACATGCTCTCCAGAGCCAGATAGCGCAGATTGGTCTCCCGGTGCTGGAGGAACTGGCCCAGCTGGTTACAGGCACGTACAAGCAGGCCAGGGTCACTGGGAGGAATAAAGTGTCACATTATAACCATTACCAATACTTGGGTTTCAAATTGAAATATACTTAATATACAGTTGTGTTGTTCTTTTGTGAAATAAATGCTGGCTACTAACCTGTCATAGTGGATGATGAGACTAATGGCCTCAAAAAGCACAGCATATTTAGCATTTGAATGCTGCACCTTCTTAGACTTGGGTGGTTCCTGGGCCTTGTTTAGGATGGATTCAAGGCATTCAGCCAGCCGGCTGCGAACAGAATCATCCTCTGGCCAGCACCGGCAAAACAACAACGTGATGATGAAACATTAAGCTTTTATATAAAGTGGAACCTCACTGCTGTACTTAACATCCGATGTGACATCTTACCTGGAGGTGGGTAGCACTGCAAGAGGCGGAGCAACTTGACAGACAGCCATGGGGCGGGGACAAAGTAGTAGGCATAGTCCTGTAAATCTGAAGCAGCAGGGATCACGATCTGAAATAAAGAAGGATGAAGCTGAAACATTTGCTGAAAAAAGGCAGAGGGCAGCCCTCTTTTCCCCCAAAATATTTTTCTTAACGAAAACAACTTACCTATTTATATACAGCATGTTAATTTTAAGATGCAACTTTCCCAACACCACATTACAGAACATACTGCAGGCTAAAGAAGCTCAAAACTCAAATACGTAATCTACAGGCCCCATGAAACAGCATGCAGCTGTGATTTGTAAACTATTTTGAATTTCTGGATTTCTACATAAATGGCTCCTAAAATGTCATCAGATCTTCATCATAAGTCATAATAATAAAAAGGACTTAACAAAGAACACAAATGACATTCACACTATCACAAGTGTATTGAATAAATAAAGAACAATGACCTTCAAAACAGGTGTAACTGGAGTCAGGCATTCCTATCAATTCATGTGTGGGTCTGACATAACCTTCCATATAAAAGAAAACTATTTTGGTTACCCGCTAAGTAGGACTCTACTCAAGGGCAATATGGTCTGATCAAAATGGATTTCAGAGGAACACAAAAGAAGAGCTATTGTAGCTCATAAGATGGGAAAAAGGCTGCAAAAGGTTTTCTAAAGACTCCACATTCAGGCAGAAAGCTTACAAGTGGAAAAAATTGAGAACAACTGCTCCTCACCCTTGGGGCGGCGATACTAAAAATATCGGCACTAAGGCACAGTACGGAATTCTCAAAGAAGTAATAAAGAACCCTAGGATGAATGCTAAAGATCTCCAGACATATCTAGCACTTGTTAAGGTCCATGTTCCTGTTATCTGACACAGGCCGTTAAAGCAAGACATCAAAAAAAAAAACATACAGCAACTTTAACAGTTCTGTAAAGAACTGAAGAAGCCAATAACAGTTAATACTCCCTGTAGCCATGCCCACCTATCCATGGCAAGCCAGACCACGCCCTGCCTCAACTGAATATTAGACACACCTGTTGTCTATTTCTTAATTGGGCCAAGGGTTTTATAAGGACATTTTCAGCATAATACACAGGTAATGTTACCATTCTACTGAACCTTCATACCTCATTGTTGTTCTGACATTTACCGGGTATATTGAGCTTGACTTTTGGTTTTCTGATTTGGACTTGAAAACTCAAGCGTGTGATATTTTCTGACCCTAGCCTGCACTTCGGAGTAAAGATTGTGGATTACATTTTGGTATTGCTGAACCTGGATCTATGAACTGATACATTCGTTTAACTTGGATAAGGATTAGATCAAATTTTAGGAGCCATTTCTGTCCAGATAAATTCAAAGGGTTCTCTAACTAATTCTTACAAATGTAGGCATTCCTTAAGCAGAGACTTCCAAATGTGTAGCTCCACCTTTACCAACGTGACTTACCCTGCCGAGCCTACCCACAGCCAGAGGAATAGAAACCTTGAGTTCCTCTGGGTTCTTCTGAGCCATGGCAATGATGAGGCTTGTGGCTGCCGTCACTACTCCCTGCAGCAGAGACAGTGCTATCTCATATAATGGCCTTCAAATCGTCATTTAGAAACATCTGCTCACCATTCAGCCTCTGACTAAATTTGAATAATAGTTAATCTAATATCAAGCACTATGTGATATTGCTCTAAAAGTATTTAGTATAGGGTATAGGCAAGCATGTATACCCTTTTACGGTAGAATACCATACCAAAGTACCAAAGGCTGCTATAAGAACTACCCCCCACCCCCAGGCTCTCAGTGTCCACCTGTGGAGCAGGCCATACCAAGTGCTGGTCATTGAGCAGGTGCACCACACGAGAGGTCAACTCTCCCATTGTCACCAGGTCTGGCGAGGTTCTGTGGAGCCGAAGCAAGCAGAGAGCTGCACTTTGCTTCACACTGTCCATGGTATCCCTGTAACACACAGATCATGGTTAGGGCAGACAGGATACTCTCCTTGTAATACTCAGACCAAGCTCAGCAGATGTGTCTCCACACATGTCCAAACTTAGCAGCGTCCCCCACATGGAAAGAAGTCACATTTTCACCATCTGCTGGTGTAGAAGTGTCTCCTTTGTTTATTCTGTACTCTTTGCATTCGTCTCTGTCAACGCGGGTTACATTTGAACATCTAAGACGTCCACTTCCATTGTTAAATGGACACAGAGAGATATCAAGAATTTTGTGTTCGCACGTCTGCAGTATTCAAACCCTGTCTTAGAGTTGGTTCCTCAACCTGCATTTCTGAGGCCTTGATTCGACTGCTTAAAATTCCCTTTGGCGGCTCACCCAGCCACTAAGATGCGAGGGATCTCCTGGACAAAGGCCTCAGCCATCTCACGGCTGCCCACATTGGCAATGCAATGCAGGGCCAGCTTCATGAACACTGGATACCGGCTGGAGAGGTCATTCTTGATGGCGTTGTTGATGAGTCGGATAAGGTCGCTGTTGGAGTTCACCAGCACAGAGATGAATAGGTAGCCCTGGAACAAGGGAAGGATTTGTTACTATGTGTATTAGGACATATTCTACAATATTAAACATCTAAAAGACGAAAAAAAAAAAAATCTAGGTTTTCTTGTTAAAATGCGGACATATGGCAAAATTAAGGAGAGGAGAGAGAATTTTTCAGCTTCACGGGCAAAAAAGAGATGTAATGAAACAACATGTTTTGACTGAATACTAAGGGAAGGTCTACTGAAATGTTTCAATAGCTCACATACTGTAAGATCACCAAAATTACATTCCAAATGTCTCTCATTTGAGATATGCTAGAGTTATATAAATTAAATAGGACTAAAGCTGGATAGCATACAACACACACATACATTTTTAGTTCAATTAAGAGATTAATAAGTTAATGAGAGCCTTAAGCTCATTCTAACAAATTTTTCAAAATGAAAATTATTAAGTTTTTTTTTTTAAAGTAGATTAAAACACAGGTTTTGTTTCACAACATCCCTACAACAAGGACATTTACAGTGGATCAGAAGTTCCTGTTGATAGGGACAGAGAGGAATTGTCTGGGGATAAGCTTACAAGGTTTTCTTGGAAAAATTAAGTTGCCCATCTCGGGGAAAGAAAGAAAGCACTCACACGGGCTCTCTGATCTGGGCTACGGGGGCAAAGTAAAATGGAACACACCTGAATATAAATCACCAAGAACAATGAAAAAAAATCAATACTGATAACCTTAGCTACATTACTCAACCACCTACCTTTCATACACCCCGAACACACACATCCAGACACAAACACACACAAAGTGAAAGGGGCTGTGTCTTCCACTCACGATCTGCTTCTCTGTGTACTTGTTGGAGCTGAGCAGGTTGACTGCCTCCATGTGGCCAAAGTCAATATCATGCCCCAGCAGAAAGATGAAAAGCAGCTTGCACACATACTTCCTCTTGCTGTAGCCATCCAGCGATTTGTCCCCTGTCACACAGACATCGCACGAATAATGTGAAATGGGTACGGTACGCTTCCGTTATTTTTTTTTCTCCAGCTCCTCTTCGCTGTTGCAGTTGCTTGCAAAATTCTTCACATGTGGTCAGTGTTTGACTGTTTTTATTCCGTGTGAATAAATTCCATACCAGTACTGAACTCTTACTGTATTACCAGAAGAGGGCAGATATATTGTAACAAACACAAATACAAGCGTCATAGTGAAATGGCTACATTTTTATGAACATTTTTAGTTATTATTCAGACAGTATTATGGTCATTTGTCATATTGTGGTATTTTGACATATTGGCAACAAAATTACCCAGGACCACTCCAACTCAGTGAACTTTATCACCAAGATTTCAAAATCCCAGAATAACATTGCTTTTGAAAATACTGTATGCTGCAGTATAATGTCTGATATGTGAATATGATATGTGAATACTTCCACACATCCTGATACAGCTACTCTTCATAACTACAAATATGCCAACTATTCTCAATCTGCTCTTTTTTCGTTGACGTCTGCTCTGTGAAAGTTAGTGCTGCCACCTACTGGAAATCCCTAGTCAATGTCCTAGGACATGAGCAATGGACACACTCTGACGTGCATAACGTCTGCCAGCCATAAAAAGATGGGCTGTACATGTCTACCGGACACCTCTGATGATGAAATTTACGTTGCTCTTGGAGAAGTAAAGCATGAATTGGCCTTTAGCCTCCCAGATAATGTGTTTCTAGTACACACTTAGACAATAGCCTTCACAGTTTGACTTTGATAGCTAATTCTAAGACACAATAGACCAGCACTATTAAAAACAAATTATTCAAGTGGAAACAATGTGACCCTGGTAGGCTGTGTCTTGCATGCATGTGCCTATACCTGTAAAATAATCTGAACCTGTCGAACCAAAGAAATTATCTTGGGAAAAACGTTCATATTTGCAGAGCATACCTTATGTCATCTAGTTCCAGTTTTGTTATGCTACCTTGAATGATACTTACAGTAGTATCATGAACTAAAGCATCCCATTGCTGCTCAATTTAAATTCACATGAAATATAATAATGCAAATAGGTCCCGAGAATCAGATTGCATTTATGCAGAATGCATAAGATAAGCCGACCTTTAAACTTAGAGCGGATGTTGGCCAATTCTTTGTTTATCCTCTTCACTTCTGCTTCTTTGCTTTTGCCTAGAAAAAAAATACAGTGAATATATCAGCGACACCGCGGTACAAATCTACATCATACTGGGGCATATAACCACTAATGGTTAACAGTGAGATGTAACACACATAGAATTCGAAAAAATAGGCAGACATCACAGTAAATGTACAGAATCTTCTCCTAATCAGATAAACTTAGCGTCATGCAAAAGTGAATAATATGTGGTGGTAGGGTTACATGACTCCTTGAGAAAACCCCAGAATAAACTAAAGAAAATTTAGGCCTAAGTGTACCTGGTAGCTCTGCGGTGATCATTATATTTTGGGTCATAAGGTAAAATGTACTCTGAGGAAAAGGTAATTAATCAAAAAGACACAGAACTTGAAAATTTTACTTGTCAGTTAAGTTTTCCTGTTGCATTCCCATGCTTTGGTAGTTTTACTGAGTATTAATAATCAAATTTTTTGTGAAGATTCAGTTTCTATAATCAAAGAAGATGACAGCAGCACAATGAAAAGTGTTTGAAAAAAGTACTGCATGTGAAATGTCTCGCAAGAAAATCTAGAGAATTCCATTCGTACACACACATACAGTACCTACAAACAAACTAGAAACATGCAAAAACAATCAAATTAATCTCGTGCGAGAGTAAAACACGCAACATGTTCAACAAGAAAAGATAAGCATAGCTGTTTTTATTTTTTCCAGCTTGATGCACAACAAACAATAATGTTATGAATCTTAGGAGTACAAAATGCCACATCTGGCTACAACTAACTGTAGTTATCTGCTTGTAGGTCCCTTTCCTTAATTGCTGGACCATGCCATTGCTGGACCACGCCATTTATACAGTCAGTGCTAGCTTCTGAGCACCTTCTCCCACAAGGAATGTTGCTGGGCCAGTTTAGTGTGCCTACCCATAGCAGATCGGGACTGTCTTCTATTGGGCTATTAGGCACCACAAGGAACTCAACCCAGTCAAGTTCATTATTAACCCATGTCTGTTAGGAACAAATGCCATATGGTCAAAAGAAGCCAATACATGTCGCAATGTGGCCACCACTGGTGTTCTCTGGATGTCTTACAAATCAAAGAATCAGATATTGTGTTTTTCATGGACTAGATTTTACTGCCATATTTCTAGACTTTGTGTTAGTCCAAATAAATCCCTAAGTAATCAGATCTCAATCACTTGCCCGCAACAATCAAGAGTTCTTTTATTCAAGTGGTTCTGTATTTTACATGACAAATAATATTCATATAAACTTAATGTATAGTCCTTGATACATTTGCCCAATTAAGTTCCAACTATGACAGTCCAGAACATATAGGCCATACTGAGAAGAGTGTAAACCCCTCCCCCCACCCCATGCTTATCTGTCTCTAATATCCATAGTTACATTTCTAAATATGCTATATTTATATATAGTCATGTGCCCCATAATGACGTTTCTGTAAACAATGGTGCGCATATAAGATGGTGGTCCCACAAGATTATACCGTAATGGAGCTGAAATATTCCTATCGCCTAGTGATCTAATATCCATAGTTACATTTCTAAATATGCTATATTTATATATAGTCATGTGCCCCATAATGACGTTTCTGTAAACAATGGTGCGCATATATGATGGTGGTCCCACAAGATTATACCGTAATGGAGCTGAAATATTCCTATCGCCTAGTGATGTCGTAGCCATTATAACATCACAGTATAACGTTTTACTAACGTTTGTGGTGATGCTGGTATAAACAAACTTACTGCGCTACCAGTCGTATAAAAGTACAGCACATGCAATTATGCACAGTACATATATGACATGACTATCATTATTTTAGAGTGTACTCTTTCTACTTATTAAAAAAAACAGTTTACTGTAGCTTCGGTGTGTAGTAAGCTATACCATTTAGGTTTGTGTAAGTACTCTGATGTTTGCACAATGACGAAATCACCTAACGATGACATTTCTCAGAACATATCCTCATTGTTAAGTGACTAATGACTGTATAATAATCACATTTCACAGCGTCAGTGACAATTCCATCTGTTAAAAAACTCATCTCATCTCATCTAGGCACAAAGAGGCAGTGAGTGGCTCCGCAGGTTTATTACTCTGCGGCTGTAATCAGAAGGTTGCTGGTTCAAATACCATGGCTGGCAAAATAATTATATCATCAATGGGTCCTTAAGCAAGGCCCTTAACCCCAAGGTGCTCCAGGGATTAGCTAACTCTGCTCTCTTACTTGTATGTCGCTTTTGACAAAAGAGCCTGCTAAATTTAATGATGAAATGAATGCTAAACGTGATCAAGTGTTACTGTTCACGAACAAAACCTGAACGGATGCTTTCAACAATAAGGCACTAATACACTTTGTATTTCTTTTACAAAAGCTGGCCATCTTGCTAGAGCCAGTCATTCAAGAAAGGTACCATACAGCCAAGACAAAAAAGGGCATGTTCTTCTCACAACTGTGACAAAGGTGCTGTAGTCACAAACACCCTGTGATGAGTCTGTACACATTTTACAGTCCTATAGAGGCCTGTTTTGGCACCTAGGGGAGTGAGAGGGTGGGGCAGCGGAGCCGGCAGTTTGACTGGTGCATTCATTAATCTCTAAAGAGTTCAAATCAAAAGCACTCCTCGTTACACTGATTTTTTTTGTATTAAAATAATTACACTTCTTCACTCATAAATGTACATATTTTCTAGTCTTTAACTTGTATATTGTGAATTGTAGGACAGTGTTCCATGTGTAAAATTCAGGGCTGTGGAGTCGGAGTCGGAGTCGAGGAGTCGGAGTCGGAGACAATTTTGGGTACCTGGAGTCGGAGTCGGAGTCGGCAAAAAGTTAACCGACTCCGACTCCTACTAAATTTAAATGGGAATTAAAAAAGTAAGTTGAAATGTCCCAATTCACAAACAGTCATAATGAACTACTTCTCTGCTGTAAGAATAAAGCCCAATGCATGCAGTGCATAATGTTACCACAAAACGAACATGTCAAGTAACCATGAAGCATGCTTTTCATTGACTGTATGCGTCACTATATGGGATGTAATGCACAGGTAAGGTGCGGCACGGCTTTCCATTGTGTCGTGTTCCACTGTTACAGGGAACTGTGAACCTAGCCTAAAGCCCCGCATACATTTACAGATGCACTGCCGATTTTTCGGCCGTTCAACGAGTCATCACACGTTAAACGCCTGAAAAATCATCTGGTGTGTTCTCAGCTCCGTCGGCTCCCCTTCGCTATGCGCTACCCTTGAAACCTTGTTTTCATTGTGTTTGTCTTTAATCTGACATTATAGTAGAGTGTTGGCTTCCTAGCCAGTAGTTCTGTGGTGAAATGACATGTATGTTGCCTTCCTTTCCTTCAATGGATGTAGAAAATACATTAGCATAGTATATACATACAGAGGAGTCGGAGTCGGGGAGTCGGAAGATTTAGAAACTGAGGAGTCGGAGTCGGAGTCGGAATCGGAGCATTTATCTACCGACTCCACAGCCCTGGTAAAATTACTGCACACATGACAAATTATTTCATGTGTTTTGCAGAGCAGGGGTAATGCTTTACATACCCCCTGTAACCTCCTGAGACCCCACCCATTCATTTATGTCCATTGTAGTGGACATTGTATTTTTGCATTTATTTTTTCACTGATGTTGGGAAACGTATTTATTCTTGTTGTGCACTAAAGAGGACATGCTGTGAAATTAAAATAAGAATAAATTTGAAAAAATCTAAATTGTAAGATGTCTTATTTCCTCCAAAGACAAATAAACTACAATTGAAGGACACTTTTTTCCTTGGGTCTCAGGAGGATATATGCTTGGATGCGGGGGGGGGGGGGGGGCACCCAGTCCATACTGGAGCACATACACGCACATACTCACACAGTTTCAGTATTATTACTGTTATTTGTGATATCCGGTATATGTAAGCTGTAACACGTTTATGTGTAAAAAACATCCCAAAACAGGTCAGGTCAGGTTAGGGAGCACTGGTACAGTGCATTGTCACACCCACCACCTGATGAAACACCTTGGGAACCTGGTTGACGACCCCCAGGCCAACATGCGGTCTAGTCCCACCTACTGAAAATGGTAACACCCTCAGGTAATACATGGGCGTCCCCTTGGCCTGGTCCAGCTACTTGGGTCCTCAACAATGAGGAGGCCGCGAACCAGATCACCCGCAGGGAAACGCGCCACATGGCCATACTGCTATAACTGACGCTCCCTCACAATGCAGGTAACGTGCCTCATTCGGGGCTCCCTGAGCAGCCGCTCATTCGACACAAAGTCAAACCAGCGGTACCCAAGGATTCTACAAAGAGACGCAGTATACCAAAGGGTCCAGTCTTTGTCTCAGGTCACTGGATAGCGCCCATTCCTTGCAGACAGCCAAATATATCTTTGTAAGAGGACAGCCAATAAGGCCAAAAATATTTTCAAGGCTAATGAGGACTTTTGATGATATGTGGCTATTTAAATGAAGTATTTTTAGTTCAGTTATTCGTTTTTAAGCAAAAGTTCTGGGTAATAACACGGTTTGTCGGCAATACGCTGTTAAAAATTACTAAGGAAGGAATAGATTTCATTTTCGAGTAGATTAATATGCGGTTAAGTAGTCATCAGAAAAAGATTAAACTGCCCAACCCATCCTTCATTAAAGTCAATTCAGTGACGTTGCTGGAGCACTATTCTAAGTTTAAATACATCACGTCCTTCAGTAAACTTACAGGAACGCTAGTGACCTCCAGTTAAATCTTTCAAAGTATATTAGACGACTATTTCAAATACACAAGGGAAATCAGTCTAAAGCATCATATTTGCCGTGATATTTAGCTTCAGGATCGCAAAACAGTACAGCACACGTACAGACCCGGAAAAAGCTGTATTTACAGTACACTAAACTTTCATTACAAATGAACGCACTTTATAATAGCCAGTCTTCCGTAGTTGTTTGGTAAAACGCAATTATTCTCAAAATGTTTTGACTTGTTCGTATGTTTTTTTTATATATACAAAATGAGTCCCCATATATCATTCCCATACTTCCTGTCTCAGTGACTGCATTACCAAGTGAAACTGATCTATTCAGTGTTTCATAGTTCCTTGCTTGAGCCCCACGCCTATTTTTTTGTAAATGTCAGTGCCAGCCAAAGGAAACTTTTGAAAATGTGACACACTGAACGCTAAATTTTGACTTAAACGTACTTCTGCCTGTAGACTTTCATAACTTTTGCAACTTGAACTAAGAGTAACAGTCACCTCCCCACTTGCACCTTGCATACGTCTTAGCTGCCAAAAGTGCGTGGGTCAGCATACTGGGAGAAAGCTTTATTTTACCTCTAACTAGCTAAGAGAAAGAAATCCCAGGACACGTTTTCAACTATCTGCCATAAATCATCATTGTCATTTTAGGTCAATTGACAGCGTGGTTCAACGGCAAAACTTACAGTTCCGTATATCTGAAATGAAGACAGCCAAACCTCGCATCCCGTCTCCTTTCGATACTGCTGGCATTTCGTACCGTCCAACAGACCGTATTTATCCCTAAGGTGACACGCCAGGTTTCGCAGGTTTTAACGGAAAAAACCGTACCGGGGAGTCACTCGGAAGCGGAGATGCGCGAATCAGTAGCGCTCGTGAACTCGTCAGCGCTCGTGGTTAAATTCCTGTACGACGAGAACGCGCAGACAAGCTTTAAACATTTGCTGTCACGGTACATCACTGGCCGCACGTCAATGACTCGACTGTCGTTCATTTCCTTTCATTTGTTTGTCACCTAACATATAAGTCTGGAGACATATAGAGCTTAAAAGGAGATTCAGATATCATTTGCAATTAACAATCAGCCTTTAAAATTCTATTTGACTAAAAGTTTACTAAAAATGCAAGATATCGACGCATCTAGTCATATTAGTCATGTTTGTTTATATTTCCCTAAAGTGAATGGTGCTTTTTCCCCAAAAAATATTTAAAAAAAAAACTCATTTAGACAGGTTCCAGAACAGGGTCATACGGAGATAGTAGTCTATGGAGCACAGAGCACTAGGCAGGGAAACACGTACCAGAATGGGATATCAGTCCATCAATGTGCGGACACATACATGCACACTGTGGACAATCTGGGGGTGCAGTGGTGATCCAGGCTGCCTAACACCTCCAGGGTTTGAATACATTCTTACAGCATTTGCTGATTAAGGAGCGGCATGTTTTGATATTACATGCAGAGAGGTTGTTTCACAAAACAACAGGACTACAAACATATGACATGGCTGACAGTAATTGAAGGGTTGAAATGTCTAAAGGTCTAGGGAAAAAATAGAATAAAATGAAAAACAATATTGCCCATCCATCCAGATCTGCTTATCCTGGTCAGGGACACCAGGGAGGGGGGGTCACTTGCAGCGCAAGGCACAAAGCCTGGAGCACATCCTGCACGTACAGGATGACAGTCCACCACGAGGCACATACACTCATTTACACAATATACAGGCAATTTTGAGGCACCACGTAGCCTAATTACGGAGGAATCCCACTCGACACGGAAAGAAAATGCAAACTCCACACACGTACGTCAGAGGTGGAATTCAAACCCCTAACCCGTCCAGCTTTCACTGCGATCGACTTACTTCTCCTAGTGGCACTCCAAATTTCAGTTAACGACAGAAAAAAATAATCACGTGTAGGCAAGACAGTGTAAACGAAAAAAAAATCAGTGAATTATTAAAACTGTAAAAAGTGACTGCAAAGCATCGCATACATTACATAACATCGGTTTTCAAAATTGATTTTACTTCTTAATACTGGCAATCTAGCGCAAGTCATTCTTGGAGGTTAGGTGCATCTCGCCACATTAACAGAACAACTGGTCCCAGCCTGCCTCCCCCAGGTGAAACGCTTTTTTCATTTTTGTTTTTTTCCCCCATTGATATTCGGCTTAGTTTTAAGCATTTTAATAATAATAATAATAATAAAGCTGCGTCAACAAAGCCGCGACGCAACAATTATTTAAGAGTATACTTGACAATACATTGAAATTTAACTCCCACCTTATTGACATATATTAACTTGCATTTCAAAGACAGTAAGCCGCGCGACAACATTCTGCGAATATGCGCAAACCACTTTCGTGAATCTCCCCATCGTCACGTTTCAGTCGTCCACATCTCCCAGAATGCTCTGCGTATCGAGGAAGTTACACATGTGCAGTTCGGCAGCGGAGGGTTGTTCAAATTTGTACCTGTAGAGATTTTACTTAGATATACTGATCAAGTATAATTATTTTAATTAATAAGACCTTTCTGTCGGTATTGCACTGTGCTGTTTAACTGATAGACATACATGGGTAAGTTTTTAATGTCATAATAATATTTGTTAAATTCACGTTGCTTTTTACTGTTAAGTAGCTATGGGGAATGCAGCCTAGCATGAAATTTGCTTGTTTCTAGTTAAATGATTTCTTTAGGATCAACTGTTACTTATAGATCAATGGTTAATTGCCAAATGTTACACACCTTATAAATATAGTGTATCTCTAATGTATGTCGGCTAATATAACTTTGACTTACTGCCACCGACAAACGAGTAAGTAAATATTAATTTATAGCTAAATGTGTTGTCGCCCACTGTGGGGTGTTCTTGCAGCTTACCTACTGGTGCATTTTGTTACTTGCTAAATTCAGTAATCGCGGCACTTCCGTCGGGATCATATGAAAATGTAGTGTTCCGGACGGCCTGGCAGGTCAGAAAAATAGCAGTGGATTCCAGTATTGTATCCGCCAGTAGCTATGGATTATCGACACTTCTCATCAGATCGCGGTAGTGATCCGGATGACGGGGGAAGGGCGATAAGCAGCTCGCCTCTTAGCGCACGGGACTCCGCACAAATGGACCGCAACCCCTCGCCACCTCCAGACCTGGACGGGGCTGAATCTGGGGAGGAAGGGGATGCCATCGGTGAAACTGTGTACAGCAAACACTGGCTCTTCAGTACTCTGACCCGGCTGGTACAGGTATGGAATACTAGGTATAGTATAATGGCATGAAAGGAAAAGAGTTACTTCCAGAGCTGGGTAATTCAGGACCAGGGAGTAAAAGTCCAGACTGGGATTTTGTTTCAACCAACCAGTTGAATACTCTGTGACTGTGACTCTTTATGCTCAACTGGTTGGTTGGAACAAAATCTTGGTCTGGCCTTTTACTCTCTGGACCTGAATTACCCAGCTCTGGTTACTTCATTATATAACCAGACAAGAATCAATTGAAGAGTGATGTAAGTAGTTTATGTAAGGTGCTTGTGAGAGAAACTATAGGTTGTGGCAACAAAAATGTCAAAGTTTGTCATGGTCGTAATAAGCATATCAGGGCACCATGGTGACACAGTTGCTCTGTACTTTTAGTCTGTGACAGAGCAGGAGGGAGGTGATCAGGAGAGCCAAGTGGAGCTGTCTGAAGAAGAGGAGGAGGAGCTCTGTAAGATCTGGGACATGGCCATGGATAAGGTTGGCCGTGACTTCCTCCTCTCAGACCACACCCAAGTTCACCCAGACAGACAGAAGGCCCTGTTTTGTTTTTTTTTTTTTCTTTAAGTAATTTTGCAAGCAATATTAGTGTCACATGGTAACGATGTCTAACTCTGAATATGAGAAATTTTTGCTTATTGATGTGTTTTTGCAGATATGGTGAGATACAGTAACCGTGGGCCATGCATCTGTCCTCTCTTGTGTTTCGCTTTCTTCTGTTTTGGTTTCCGAAGCCTGACTGTTCGATCTCTATGTGCAGGACGTTGCTGGCTTCCTACAGGAGTTCAAGGCTCCTGATATCCTCCTTGGGGTGATTGCCAAGTCCCGGAGTCCCCGGCTTACAGTGAGTCGTCATCATGGTCTCTAATGATGCTTTTCCACTGCAACCAAGAATCAAGCCATACCAGAGCCGCACTGCAAACCAGCAGTTTTCCATTATAAATAATGTAATCTGTACCGTAACCGTACCTGCGCTGACATGACCCTGCATACTAGCAGGGCCGAAATCGTGACCCAATCGAGCTGTCTGCATCACCGCCATCTGCACGGAGATGCCAGTGTCCTGCACATGGATTGTCTGAAGGAAAAAGGATGAATTCTATATATTCATTTTTAGCAGTATCATACATCATGATGTATTTATGCATTCCTGATAACTTGAAAATTTCCAACCTCCTGCTTAAAAAAGTACTACAGAATGGCGAAACGCACTGGATTCGTAACGCAAATTTATACAAGCTAATGCTAATTCCACTAGCGTTTGATGCTTGCATAACAAGACGATTCGCACAGATGTGCTAAAGAATTTGGTAATTATTAGTAAATCATGATGCACACCGAACAGTAAATGTGCATCTCTTTGGTTTTACTTCGCTGTCGCTCTCCAAACCCAGCAGCACCTTTACCGAGCCGACCCTTCTGCAGTGGAAAACCGAAGCGCACTGGAACCGCACTGTAACTAGCCCCCCTTCGCAGTACGGCTTGTGTACGGCCCAGTTCCTCGATGCCAGTGGAAAAGTGCCAAAATATTAGTAATATGGCTCTGCCCATCTGCACCGTTGCTGTAGTGTGTGCAAGATCCCTCCTAATCCTGATCTCTGCTACAGATGTGTGGCATTGATTCAATATCTATCTATCGAGAAATGTTGAGCCCCTTGACAAAATCGGAGGGCACCTTGGCCCCCTGCACAGTTCTACGTATAATTATAATTGTTCAAGGGCCCCTGCCAAGTGCTGGGCCCCCTTAATCTGTCAGAGATTTCTCGCTCCTCCGACACCCCTGGGGTCATGGATCGTGCATCGGAAAGGCTGGTCAGTGGCATGCAGTATCAGATATTATGGCTATTGCAGGCCCTGAATACACATTGACATACCTTTGCTACTGAGATATTTGTCCCGTTGCCTGTGGTAACGTCTTAACTGAAAGTCTAAACATTCCTATCTGCAATCTTTGTATGAGAAATTAATCGAAAACATAGACTCTTCCGGTATAAAGTGTGCTGGTGGTTTTTTCTTTTATAAGCTGGATTCCTGTTCTTTTTTCCTATAGGAAATCTGTGTCGGTATCCTTGGAAACATGGCTTGTTTCCCCAACACGTGTCTGACTCTCAGTCAAAATGAGGATCTGGGGTAAGATAGTTTGTACTACAAGTTTTGGAACCAGCTTAATTGTTTCCAGCATTATATTCTGAACGCATGAAAGTGCAGTGGCAGTCTACCAAAAATGTTGATGATAATCTGTTGTAACAGACAGTGATTGGTTTGTCAGATCAGTTACGTCAATTATTTTTATGTAGCAGCACACTACTCCAGATAGAACAGTGTGAGGTTTTTCCAGTGGCTGGATTGCCAGTCCTGCCACCAACCGCCATATTTTCCCTGTAAGTTGGAGGACCTGCTTGCAGGCCTGGATGTAGATTAACGTCATACCCAGGACGAAGCAGCTGCAGGTTAAGGGCCTTGCTCAAGGGCGTAACGGAGTACAATCACTCCTGGTATTTGCAGAATTCACACCAGCAACCTTCAGATTGCTGGCACACATCCCGAGCCTTAGAGCCACCCCTCCGCCCTCATGAGTAATGGCACCATGTTTTGAAATTAATTTTTATGGGGGGAAAATAGGTTTTTGATTATTTACAAGTAAGTAGGATATGACCATAGTATACTATATTGCTGTGAATACTTTAAACACTAAATCAACTC